TTGAAGAAAATTGAGGTAAGTCTATCCGTCAAGTCGTCCCGGCAAGAAGAATGGGTCAATAAAGTGGTTGCCAATAATTCCTGCCCATACGTTAACCGAAAATTGGTGTTCGAAATGTGTTTCGGTTACGGCATAGGTATTTTCTTCTGCCCACAACTGATTATTATGGAAATTCTGAATGGCATTTCGAGAAAAATTAGCTTCGTAGGTGAACAGAATCATTGATTCAAATTGCGGATTTTGTGTAATTTTTTGAAGATATCACTGACAAAAGGTCACACGCCTTGGAAAATCAATGGGAAGTAATGCCTGTACTCTTAAAATATGGTAAGGATATAACAGAAGATCCACTAAAATTCTCCAAACAATATGATGGCAAATATTTAAGTGTCTAGCGATCTTCCTCGTATCGTTTCAGGATGTTCTTCGACTTCGTTCAGCACTGCGTCCTCAATTTCAGGTGTTCTCACACTTAGACGTCTACCTTACGATGTTCCTTTTCGGACAGAACCAGTTTCAACAAGAGGACGATGAATATTAGAAAAGGTTCGACTAGCTGGTAAAGCACGATCGGGATATCTCTGGTGATAAATCCGTCTGGCTTGCTCACCATTACCGTCGGCAAGGCCATATACATAATGCATTTCCGCCATTTCTGCATTTGAACAATTCACCATTATTAACAAGATTGTAAAAACTAAGTAATGAAAAAGATGTCACAGCGAACAGATTTAAGTAACAGATAGTTGTTAGATGTAAAAAGCCAGTGGCATATTCCAGAGCAACTAGATATTTATTGCTAAATTGCATTCTTCAATTATTACATTAATTTTCTCGGACTATAGAACGGCTTTTATTTTTTTAGTCAAAAAGGGCGCATCGAATGAAAGCAACTCAAGAGAGATCATTTGTTTTAAATTGAACGGGGAATTCAAAAATAATTTTTATATGGCAAAAAATCATTGAAGTCAATACCCGTACGCACCCCACTGTTGAAGACAAACATTATTTTTGCATTGAAAAATATGCAACTTTTTTAACTTTCACTACGTACTAAATATCAGTGAAATATCTGAAGCGGTTCTGAAAATATTAATTAATTTCCATTTTTTTCCTAAAACTTCAACACACCGAGTTTTTGTAAGGAAACATTTTTGGACCATAGTTTATAAAGCTCCTAGATCTGAAACCGTTTAAATCTAAACACGGATACGAAATGTAAACTTGCGAAATGCGAATACAGAAAACCGCCCTACGACCACAAACCGCCCAACGTGAGACCTCAAGAGAAAAGCGAGAAAGCAGACAAATCACAGATCACAGACCGATTAAGAATAATTGAGAGAAAATGAAAACTATTTATAATCCTGGCAAAGTCCTGGCAAGCATGCATTCCTGGCAAATGCTAGTAATTACTGGCAAAACGGCAATACTCATGTTCGTCTATCTGTCAGTTAATACTTGGCATGTCTGTAATTGGACCCTTAAGGTAGTTTTTGAAAATCGATTCAGTGGCGGCGGAGCTAGAGGCAAAAACGAAAAAAAAGGAAATCGTTCAAACTTATTTTTTTTCAGATATCATTTTCAGAAACATTTTTGTAGGACTTGAAAGTTATAGGGGGTGATGGAGGGAATAATGTCAATTTTTGACGTTAGTATATTTAAACGATTCCAACCCTGTTCACTTTCCCTTAAAACTAAGATTATTATTATATCTGACCGATGGGTGGCTGCTGCAAGAAATTTCTAGATCATAAAGTTGTCAGATGTGTGGGGATTGTGGCCTAATTCTATAGGTCTGTTTAACTGTATTGATCCATTTTCGTAGCTAACATTTTTATCAGAGAGGCTAACTCGTGCCGAACATACCTTTTTAATAAACTACGTACATTTTATATTCCCCAAGCACTTTCTTACAATCGTCCTGTCCCTATAGCTGATTGGTCGGCGACGCCCTTGAAAGGGTATGTCCAGGTGCAGACTGTTATATTCAGAAGCACAAAGCTTCCGCATGGTAAAGATTTCGCAATCGCACTACAAAGCGCAGATTTGCCTCCGGTAGTTTTTTCTTGGACGAACAAAGAAAGCGGTCCTGTTTACTTCTCTACTTCTCCATGAATTTTATTACAGCAGTAACAATGGAATTTCTTCACTTATCTATGACGGCGAAAATTATAAACTTTATACGTCTTTTTTTTATAAACAAGAGGAAATGATGGTATGATTCCGCTTTCCTTCTTTTTAATTAGTTAATAAATTAATAGAGCACGATAAATGTAATCTAAGGGTCAGCCAATGCAAAACAGCTGTCTAGTGGCTTGCAAGTTTAGGCCCTAGCTGAATAAAGCAGATAGTAGGGAGGGGGGGGAGAGCGTCAGTGATTCAAGACGGATTAAGTCACAAATCCCCGAGATGTTGGTCGGAACTCGTTATGCTTGACCACCCAAACAAAAGAATAGAATCTAACAGCAATGACGTAGCCTAATTAATTGTACACAGAGAGCCAAATAAAACAAGATATTAAAAAAATCACAATATAATAACGTCGTGCCCATGGCAAACGCCCTCCTAACAGCACGTCTCAGAAAGCACGAAATATTCTTTCAATATTCAAACACATTTTTATCTTATTCAAATATTTGTTATCTTAAACAAATATTTAATAAATATTTAGATTTCGAGGGGTGTCTTTTAAGTTTTGCATTGGAAATAAAACAACACGATTTTCGAAACACTTCGAGATCGGATGACTTTTGTATATAATATATATTATTATATTAATATTATTATTATTATTATTAATGATATGCGAATATTTAAGGATGTGCATCTACATGAAAAATTAATGTTAGTTTGCTTTATAAACTATGGTTCAAAATTGTTTCCTTATAAAATCTCGGGGTGCTGAAGTTTTAGGAAAAAAATGGAAATTAATATTTTCAGAACCGCTTTAAATATTTCACTGATATTTAGTATCTAGTGAAAGTTAATGAAGTGGCATATTTTTCAATGCAAAAATAATTTTTAGCTTTAACAGTGCCGTGCGTACGGGTATTGACTTCGATATTTTTTAAGAAAAAAATGGTACGCCAATGGTTTTTTTCCGAATAAAAATTATTTTTGAATTCCCCGTTCAATTTAAAACGAATGATCTCTCTTGATATGTTTTCCTTCGATGCGTCATTTTTGAGTAAAAAAATAAAAACCGTTCTATTGTCTAACTTGCAAAATTATTATTAATTTAATTGGAAAAATTAAACACATTAGGGGTAATGAACAACAACAACAACTGACAACATAAACACAACATTAAAACCAACAAAATGATTACAAAAATTGTTGAAAATGGCCCTCTTCACTTAGTATGCATGCTTCCGCCCTCCTTCTAATGGAATTGCGCACTCGTTGAAATATCCCTGAAGTGTTTTTTATTCTATCACAAGCTGCAACTATTCTTCCTCTTTACTCCTCTACAGTGTTAATGGGACTTGTGTACATCAGTGTCTGGGGACCTTGGTGGCCATTCTTGGGGCCCACCGCGGCCAATCCAACGATTTGGCTAAAGAGTTTGTAAATAATTACGAACCGTTACATTGAAATGCGCTGGTGCACCATCATGCATGTACCACATATTTTTTCTTATTACTAACAGAACTTCATCAAAGCCGCAAAGGCAACTTTTGTTGAAGGAAATAGAGGTAAGTCTGTCCGTCAAGTCGTCCCGGCACGAAGAATGGGCCAATAAAGTGGTTGCCAATAATTCCTGCCCATACGTTAACCAAAAATTGGTGTTGGAAATGGGTTTCGGTTACGGCATATGGATTTTATTCTGCCCACAAATGATTATTATTGTGGAAATTCTGAATGGCATTTCGAGAAAAATTAGCTTCGTCCGTGAACAGAATCATTGATTCAAATTGCGGATTTTGAGTAATTTTTTGAAGATACCACTGACAAAAGGTCACACGTCTTGGAAAATCAATGGGAAGTAACGCCTGTACTCTTAAAATATGGTAAAGATATAACAAAAAATCCACTAAAATTCTCTAAACAATTTGATGGCAAATATTGAAGTGTCTAGCGATATTCATGGTACTCGTTTCAGGATGTTCCTTGACTTCGTGCAGCACTGGTTCCTCAGTTTCAGGTATTTTCACACTTAGATGTCTACCTTCAGATATTCCTTTTCGGACAGAACTAGTTTCAACAAGACGACGATGAATATTAGAAAAAGTTCGACTATCTGGCAAAGCACGATCGGGATATCTCTGGTGATAAATCCGTCTGGCTTGCTCATCATTACCGTCGGCAAGGCTATATACGTAATGTATTTCCGCCATTTCTGCATTTGAATAATTCACCATTATTGAGATTGTGAAAACTAAATAATGAAAAAGATGTCTTAGCGAACAGATTTGAATAACATAGACTTGTCAGATGTCAAAAGCCAGTGACATATTCCAGAGCAACTAGATATTTATTGCTAAATTGCATTCTTCAATTATTATATTAATTTTCTCGGACAGAAAACAATTCAGCACAGATCATTTATTTTGAATTGAACGGGATATTCAAAAATAATTTTTATTTGGCAAAAAACTATTGGCGTACAATTTTTTTCTTAAAAAATATCGAAGTCAATACCCGTACGCCATATACGTAATGCATTCTTGCCATTTCTGCATTTGAATAATTCACCATTATTAACAAGATTGTAAAAACTAAATAATGAAAAAGATGTCACAGCGAACAGATTTGAATAACAGAGACTTGTCAGATGTCAAAAGCCAGTGACATATTCCAGAGCAACTAGGTCTTTATTGCTAAATTGCATTCAATTATTATATTAATTTTCTCGGACAATACAACTGTTTTTATTTTTTTGCTCAAACATTTTTAGCATACATTTTTTATAAATATTTAATAAATATTTCATGTACGTAAACAGAGAACACAACAATGTACAAAATCAAGTACAAAATGGTAATCCGGTATCATACCTCAAGATAGATGGGGTTGTTCGGCTCGAACGTGCTGTTGACCAGGTGGAAGGTGACATTGTAATGGGGCAAATTGTGCAGCAGCCACGCGAGAAAGGGGTGCGTGTACGCGTCATCAGTGGGGACTCCCATGCCCCCAGAAGTGACGGCTGCCCGAAGATGGGCGTCACGCTATAGGCCGCCCGGCTACAGTCACACCATTATCATGGAGTACCACGCACTAACACTCGCACAACCTGTAACAAACAAAATACAGTCAAGTAGGTTGACTTACCACTTTTCACACATTGATGTAATCGTTATTCATGTCTCTAGGGCGTGAATTGGGCGTTTATGGCCCGCGGCGTGAAATTAGAGCCTAAGGTACGATACGCATGGGCTTAAACACGACTAGAGTCATAGTGTATTACATACAACAAACATAATAGTACATTAGATACACAGTTTGAGAGATGTGAGCGAGCGCTTTTGAACTTGAGGCGCCTAGCCTTCTCAAGCGAGGCATGTGTATAGAATTTTTTTCGCTATTTATACTATATATCACAAGATATTCACGATCATGACGTTACCAAACGATTTTACAAGCTACTTTAAAATATCTGGCGTCAAAATGACAATCTCAAATTAATGAATGCAACAGAGAGCCAATTTGGTTTCGACTTGTCCATCCAAGGGGAGTTAGGTTTGTTAGCATTAAAAGCCGTATTCAAACGTTATGTCTATTGTTGGGGTATTCAAGAGGTATATATAACTACACGAGGAGCGAAAATTACTTATTTAATAATAATAATAATAAATAATAATTTATTGATATTATTATACAAAAAATGTCCACATAGGTAGGTCAGTGTAAAAATGATAAAAAGATATTTAGTAATACAGTACACCGGACATGAAAAAAAATACGGTTCAAAATAAACTGCATTGCTTTGAACGCATAATTGTGGCATTCTTCGACTTTACTGCTGATTATACTAACGAATGTTTCGAATTTTTGCCCGATATTATCATTTCCATCGCTGAATGATAATATCGATGATGATATAATTTCAATTTCAATGTACAGATCATATAAGCCCTCATTCGTTATTGGCCTAAAAGTAACTCCCTTAAACGTTGGTATGTTCTTAGTTTGTTCAACAGGTAGTCAAAAATATAGCTATGAAAAGCTGCGACTTCCGAGGGGCTATCTATGTTTGTGAATATGTTGTTCAGACAGTTATGCTTCCCAGTGTTGGTACTGATGGTTATTTAATCCATAACTTTGAAACAAAGTTTCGACTTAGCGTGTTCAAGTATCATCGCAATCAAATCACCTGAAATGACTACATCCCCCTGATAATTCAAATGATCAAGAGTAGTGCATAATTTGTTGAGAAATATATCGAATTCGCTCTTATACCCTCTCCAGACTCACGCGCGGATCACGGCGTGAAATCGCGGGGCGAATCCAGAAATTTGTTCCTACAGTTCCACACTCCCAGATGTTCGCGCTCTTGACGAGTATGAATGATAAAACTGCTACTGCTGCTGCATGGGTACTTTGCGCTTTGGCAATTTATAATTACGCATATATAAGTAAAACTAAAACAATTGAAAAGAAGTGAAAAAAACGCAACCACTCCCGGCACTCGCTATGAGGCAACTGAGCCACCAGCGAATGTGGAGTCTAGTCATCTTCGCGCCTTGCGAACCCTTTGTCGCGGGACTAAAAACCGACAACAAACGGGAACAACGCGCGAAGCCGCGAATGGGATCCACACTCATGGGTCGCGGGTAGTACGAGGCTTCGCGCGTGAGTCTGGAGAGGGCATTAGGGTTCCCGTGTAGCGAAATAATTTGCATATTGTTGACGCAAGAACCTGCTATCTCTAAAAGTTTGCTCTTCATTTGCCGCAAAAATTGAAGTAGACAAATGTATTTTTATCAACGTTGACTTTATATATATATATATATATATATATATATGCCCCCTGGCTTCTTCTGCTTCTGCTGCTGCCATTTGAATACTATGTTTAAAATATAAAGTTCAGTTACAGATATAAAAAAAACTGTTACTACAATATTTTTTTTTATTATTGCGGTTACTTACCTGTTTTGACAATGCAAGATATGGCTAAGTTTTGTTTAAGAAATTTATTGCTGAAATAAATAATATAAAAATGATATTATATTTTCTTTAAAAATACCCGCCTAAACCTGCTTGTAACGTTTACATCTAGTTTGAGCCACTAAGGATTGGCTAGACCTAGCTGTAGCCGGGATCAAGTAGGTTGGACTTAGTTTTAACTAAATGGAACCGGCTAAAACTAGTTGTCACAGTATTTCTGGTTTTAGTCGTAACATATACACTGAAAACCAAATACCACTGACGTCATACCACAGAGAAGTGCGAGAAGCGTGCAATACGCGTGTTAGAAAGATATACGAGCCCCTTCCCACTTCAGTTGGCCCAACTATTGAAATCTTAGTTTTTTCCTTATCAAACACAAATAATAAAAATGTAGCAGGGTGTTATAAGTTTAAAATATTAACAATGAATATTTTGATAATATGTAGTAGAAAACACCAACTTTATCACTCCCTAATCAAATTTGCAGCATAAAAATAACACATGTTGCAATTACAGCATATCAACCTATTTTCATTTCAATGCAAAATAAGTCTATAACGCATAGGTGGCTGTGTAGAATACGTTTAAAACAGTTTTGGGTAGTTGAGATTTTCAAAATGGGTAGAGGAAAGGTTATTACTGAGAAAATTCGGTTACTGATAATTAAATTTTTTAATTCTGGGAAATCAAACTCAGAAATTGCAACTTTGTTAGACTTATCGCGGTACAGTGTGAGAAATATTGTTAGAAGATATAACGAAACTGGGCCAGTTAATATTAAGCCACGATATGTGAAAAAAAGTAATATCACAAATGCCGACCGAAGAGCATTAAGAAGAATAATCGTGAAAAACAAGCGTGCCAATTATTTACAATTAAGTGCTCCGTGGAGTTACGCTGTTGGAAGGAGAATTTCGAGGTCCACAACTCATAGAGAGGCCCACAAACTTGCAAGGTAAGTTTTCTTATAAAAAAAAGTGAAGTAAAAACCCTAAAGTCGCACAACTTGTTTATAGGCCAAAGAAAAGCCACTATTAACTCCACTGCAAAAGAAAAATCGGCTTAGATGGGCTAAAGAACATAGACAATGGACACCTCAACAATGGTGTGCAATACAATGGAGTGATGAGGCCCGATTCGAAGTTTGTGTTGGTGACAGTCGCAGTAGAGTTATTCGCAAAGAAAATGAAGCATTCCATGTTGACTATCTGAAGAGAAAAGTGAAATTTCCAGCATCCATTATGGTCTGGGGCAGTATGTCATCAAAAGGAGTACGAAAACTTCATTTTATTGATCGAAATGTGGATACAAACAAATATTTGGCAATTTTAGAAGAATCGCTTTTACAATTGATGGAAGAATGTTTGACATCCGGCCAAGATTTTGTGTTTCAGCAAGATGGTGCAGCGTGCCTTACCTAAAAAAGGCTATAAAATGGATGGAAAAAAATAATGTACCACTTTTGAAATGGGTTTCTAGCAGTCCAGATCTGTGACCTATTGAAACTTTGTGGCACGAGATGAAAAAGGTTCTACGACAACATCCTGCTCGTACAATCACCGAACTGAGACAAAAGCTTCAAGAAATATGGGATTGTTTTACACCAAATTTTTGCCAAAACTTGGTTAACACTATGCCCCAAAGAATTTCAGCCGTAATAAAAAATAAAGGTGATGTTACCCAATGGTAATATTTCAACTGTTGCTTTGTTAACTTCGCGCATTTATTCGCACATTGAATATTTGTTCAGATGTTCTATTAGTTATAGGTCTAAGTGATTTCAAATATGTATTTTTTACGACTAGAGTGTATCTAAAATGTTTTTGAGAAAATAAATTGTTTTAGAAGTCATGTTTAGATTATAAAGGCATATTTTGGTACAAATCTTGAAGTAGGCCAACTGAAGTGGGAAGGGGCTCGTAGAAGCACCTCGTTGCCGAGTGACGAGGCCATGGACGTCATCAGCGCACTCTTTCTAACATACTTATTGAACCCTTCTCGGGCTCTTCTCTCGTACGCATTACGACGTCAGCTAAATTTGAACCTCACCGTAGATTGCAACTCCACCATGCGTCTTAATTTTTCTGCAAAAGCGGATACGGGCTTGTATCATCTTGGTTGTTTCACAATTAATTCACTCTCAGACAACCAATGTTCATTCAAGCACAGCACATTAACACTGATTGTCGGATCCGAATAGTGCTAAATCACTTAAACTGAGACGTGTTACTGTTACTAATATTTTATGTTCTTACCATGACAATCGCATGGTCATCATCATGGTGCTGACATGAATTTTCAAACAAGATTAAAACTAAATCTAAACAATTTATGTTCGGCGTGACGACACCTTCTACAATAGAATTTTTTTGCGATAAAATGGAATAAAGAATAAAACATGAATGTTTCGCGAATTCGTCGCCAATCACCAACACTTTACATTTGAAACTATCTACATTATCTAGTGAAAAAAAATTCTATTCACGATATGGTAGGTAAAAAAATAGTAAAAAGTAAAGTAAATTTAGAGTTATCCATAAGTGAACAAAATACGAACGATAGACCGCATTATATCATTGAATGCCAGTTCACTGCTACTTAGAGAGACGAATAGATACATTCAAACAGGTATCATGGTCGATGAGCATGGGTCACTTTAAGTATATCGGGCGCTAAAGTTATTTTACCACCCTAGGTCATAAACAAATCAGCTCGTTCGTAGATAAATATTTCAGAATTGCGCTCATATACATTTTCTTTGGTGAATTTCACACGATCAGTATTTACCTTGGGAAGTACAATCAGTATTTACTGACAGTCAATGTCAATTAATTTTTACGTAACCTTGCACATCAAGAGTTACCGAGGTCCTGGCTACGGTCAATAGATAACAAATTCCGTGATAAATACTGATGGATCATAGTATACTAAGTGACATATAAATCCGAACACCCAGTTTAAATGGTTTTATTTTAATAAAAGTTGGTGAATGTATTTATCTTACTGTAAATAACAAGTGAAAAAATTTTCAGCCTAAAAATGGATATTTCAGCCGCAGTAAAGAATCAACGTTGGCGGATTTTGGTTCTTGACATCCTTTACGATCGGTTACGATGCCTAGAATACGGAGACCTGTACGATTTCGTCAAC